TTTCTCTTTCCCACACTTTATTTCTCGATTTCTCTTTCTCTATCTTTCCGTCGATATATCTCTCGCCCTCTTTGATTATCTCTCTTTCTGTGTTTCTTTCTTCTCTGTACTCTTCTTTTCTGTTCTCTGTGTACATTTCTTTCTTTCTCTCTACGTCATCCTTTGCTCTCTCTTTTCCTCCTCCATACCTTTCGCATCCCATTTCTGTACATTACCAATGGTACGTGACGCGTGCGATGATAAAGTGAAGACGACAACGGCGAAGTCTCCATAGTGCTGTTGAGACTGCAAAAAATAAACAACGTGAAAAGGAAAAATAACTTGTGACACCAGAAGTCTTTCTGGCAGGAGGAGGACTTGGAAAACGAAGAAGCGCAGGAGTATCACAAGGAAGGAGCGGTGCGGGAGAAAAGAAAAATCCCGCATATCCACGAAATGCGGATACAGCACGCCTGCGAGGCAGCGTTGAGGCAAGCCCTTGGCATCTTCTCATCGAAGGTCCAAGCCCGGCCGCCTAAACCTGCTAGTTTCTGATAATAAAGTTTATTTCTTCTCCTCCTCCACATAGTGAATGAATATGAAGGAGCTTCCTCCAGAGTTTAAATCCGTGAAGAGAGATTCACAAGCGAGGGCGAAATCCCGCTGTTATGCGGACCGAATAGTCACGTGATTAGTTTAATCGTGCTCGGTAGAGAACACGTTGCATGCACACAGCCGGAGCTACGCTCACGGAATCCTCGTGCATACTCTCGACTCCTATGATTATGCAGCGCGCTTGTTTTCCTTTATTTTCTACGTGAAGCTATTTGAGACAAGACGCAGCTGACAACAGTAAAATATTTGTATTTCTGTTAATTTATCTGTCGTGACTTCGCATTTATGAGAGCGTGAGAAAGTCCCGCCTTTTTCGAGAAGCGTGCCAAAACGGACTACTTCGCGTAGTGCTGCATGTCGAGGAGCTCCGCCTCCATAGGTTTCCCTTCAGTGCGAAGAAAAGTTGTCGCCGAGTGTAAAACACGTGGCTTTTAAGCCGGCTGCCTGCTTCTTAGCCACGCCAATCCGACCAATGTTGACAGATTTGACGCTGAATCCTTTCGATCGAAGGCAGACGACCGTCAAGCGGAGGAATAAAAATAGCGGCGACACGTTTCCATCCGTGCCGCGAACAAATGAAGCGAGGACGGCACGTTTCGATGACGCGCACGTCACGTGATGCGCCGTCCACTGCAAACATTCCTCCTCCGTTTCCTCGTGCGAACACACCTTAAACCATGAATACCCTGTACCTATGCTCAATCATCATCATATCAAGACGTGACACGAGAGTTCTTGTGGTGTGATGTTATATGGACAATGTTTATTGTTTACATATCAATGTACTATATACAGATATTCGCATACTGATGCAGTATATACATTTTCATCAATAGTTTATTCATGGATCACATAAGCACGGGGCAACGTTTTCCTTGTAGTATAATGGCTTTGTGATCTGCAAAGTACAAAGCCAGAAATTTCAGTTATAGGATGTATCGGAAAGTTCGAGAAAGGTCCTAGCGGTGGGCCCACGCTGTAGCTGGATTCGAGCCCTCTGCGCCACCCCCTTAGGTTCTGTGGTGTTCATAGTGAGTAGCGGTATCCACGCGCACTGAGTTATGTCCGCCGAAAGAGAAAGGTATAGCGCGGCGGCGAGAATTGGCGCTATATGTAGGAGCAGCCACCTAGCGGTTTCGTACCAAACTAGAGCACGCGCCATCTAGTAAGCGCTCTTGAAACGAAAAGCAGAGTTGCGCCTCTAGCGAGAGCAACGAGCACTATCGTACACACCGGCGCAACAACAAGAGACAGCCCTCCAGAAAAAGGAGCAAGCTCCTGAAAAATTTTTGGCGGACGTCAGGTGCCACTATGACGAGGCTAGCGAGTCCTTCTTGCAGTAGATGCGACCATCCCTAGAAGGATTTCGATGAACCAACTTCGCTTTTTTATAGGCTTTACGCGACTAGTGTCGACTTCCTCCACCCATACCTTTTTTGTCTCCTTTTCTTCCAATCTGTTTTTCGCTCTTCAAAATATTTTAGTCCGTATTGCCTTTGTACGATGATCGAGTGGGCAAATTGTACGGAGGATTTGCGGTTTTCTTGAATGCCTCGTGAGCTACGCCCACTCGTCGTCATTCACTTCGTGGATATGCAGGGATATTCTCGCGTTCTCTTTGTTTTTTATCAGTTATCTGCGATAGTGTCGCAGTGCCATAACTTACATTGTACCGGTGTCTTTTCCCTGTGTGCACGTGCCGTCGAAGTCGTTTGTTACCCATTGCACTTGTACTCGCCTGAACGGCTGTTACGAACACGTAATAAACTTCCATGTGGGCAGTGACACAATTGATAAGTATTCAGTTCATAAGCCTCTTAATCACTTGCATATTCCTGTGTGCACAGCGTACTCACAGCCACACTCATAATCGCAATCGAGTTGGCCTAAACCAGGGGTCGCCAACGTGCGGCCCGCGGTCAGAATACATTGTGAGAACGCCGAAACGACGTAACCCCCCGTCCCTCCTTTTTTTTTTCTTGTCACTTTCTATCTGAGCGTCAACATGGCAGTTTTGACCCAAAATGGGATTTTCTTTTATAAATTATGTTTCAGTGCAACTCTGTGACATGTATGCTGAAAATAATTGTAGCATCAAACTAGTTTTGCAAATTATTGTCGGTTCACATAACTTCTGCGCTTTGTCTGCAAAGACCTCCTTCCGGCCCCTGGATTGCCATCGGGCCCTCCGCTGTATCGGCGTCATGAAATTTGGCTCTTCTCCTGAAAGGGCTGCCGACCCCTGGCCTAAACCAAGCAGTTTTGAAAAAGAAGGGTTGGCGTGGAAATCATGCATCTAGAGTGAAGTTATTCCCATACAAACATGACCGCCATTTGTATGGAAGGGGCATGTCTTCGATATGTGCTGAAGAGCACAAAATTTTCTAAAATTAACTAGAGGGGACTCTCGCACTACGATTGTTAAACCGCCTTGAGATGGGTAGTACTAAAATTTGCCTAGTTTTCGTGCTTGCAGGCTTCGACCGCACTGGTGGCTTCGTTTTATGCTTGACTTAGTTTTCTTTCGCACAAAAGGCCGTTGTGAGCTTCATGACCCAATTTGATTTTATTGATTGATATGTGGAGTTTAATGTCCCAAACGCACCATATGATTATGAGAGACGCTGTAGTGAAGGGCTCCGGAAATTTCGCTTACGTGGTGCTCTTTAACGTGCACCCAAATCTGTGCACATGTGCCTACAGCATTTTCGACTTTGTCGAAAATGCAGCCACCGCAGCCAGGATTCGATCCCGCTACCTGCGGGTCAGCAGCTGAGTACCTTAGCCACTAGGCCACTGCGGTGGGGCATGAGCCGATTAGAATCGGTGGGCTTAATAGATCAAGGTAGTGAACTGCAACTGCTGAAAATTTGGAGATTCTCACCTGGTGACAAGTAAGCTCCAAGCCGCATGAAGCCACACGGAGCCGAAACAAAGAAAATTAGACAAATATATGTACTACCCATCACTCCCTTGCTGGCTGAAGCACCGTGCGTTGCAGCACTATACCGCCCTTAGTTACGTCTTTTGTACTTATAGGGAACTCTATGCCACCGACTCCATAGAGACGTCCAAGGTGATCCGGTCATGTTCACGCCCCGTATGCGTCATTTTCGGACCATTCATATGTTCTCCACCTCGGGCTTGTCGGCGATCTGACACGGCAATTTGACATTTCATCTAGGTGCCTTCTCACTTTACGTCGACACATTTCATTATTGACTGCGAACGCATCAATGCTGTTGTTGCCTGTAACAGCGGAAGTGTCGCGCTGCTAAGTGAATGGATTAATGTTTGATTCCTGCGACTGAGGACAGAAAAAGTCAGTAGGGAACACTGTGTAGCAGACATATAGTATTTTACGCGTTAATGAAAAGATAAATAGATAGATATGTGGGGTTTAACGTCCCAAAACCACTATATGATTATGAGAGACGCCGTAGTGGAGGGCTCCGGAAATTTAGACCACCTGGGGTTCTTTAACGTGCACCTAAATCTCAGCACACGGGCCTACAACATTTCCGCCTCAATCGGAAACGCAGCTGCCGCAGCCGTGATTCGAACCCGCGACCTGCGGGTCAGCAGCCGAATACCTTAACCACTAGACCACCGCGGCGGGGCACGCGTTAACGAAAAAAAAGGAACTAAATACGTCACTCGTTACTCTAACAAAAAAGGAACGCGTTACCGCCCTACGTTACTTGAAAAAAAGTAAAGCGTTAAACTTTTACAGTTACCGAAAAAGAGTAATGGACGTTACCTCTGTCGTTACTCCGCATAGATAAGTTTTAATCGATGCGTTTTTGTTGAAGCAACCCACATAAGAACTTTTTTAAATTACAAATTTGTGCTTCACATAAAACATCTAACACCAACAAGGATTATGCCGAAAATGCTTAATTAACGAGAATTATTTGAACAAACTTTCATGTACTGCACTTTGACAGTGTTATAGTAGCTTAGAGATTCCTGTACAGTTACACGTTATGGCTGTAGTCATCTGCGCTGTCCGCAAATAAAGCATCACTGAACACTCAAGAAATTTACAGTAATGAGCCTTTTCTGCGTCCAAACAGCATATCCAGTGGAGATTGTCGAAATCAAAACTGGTGGTCCTTCGCTTCCGAAATTTCGACGTCATGCGAAGATTTCTGCACGAAATTCGAAACGAAAAATTCAGCCTTGCTTTTTCTCCGATAGTAATGAACTTATGACAGAGAAAACTATGGTATTGAAGTTCTCACGAGTGCAGTTTATCAATCCAAACCAAGTCATCGTTCGTATTTAGTGTCGCTTTAACGGCATCACATTTTTGGCTCTTTGCGATGAATTACAAAGTTCGTGGCACTTTTGAAAATCGTTTATGCCCGTTGTGTTCTTTGGTTATTGTCATTTCTCAATTGCAGGGTGTGCTGGTGTTATAGTTGGACATCCTTTCGACACCATAAAGGTGAGTGAGAAATATTTCACACCGAAATTTTTATGCATCAGTTTTCACGAAAAAGCGGATGCACTCGGATGATTTCTGAAATTTCTTTAGATTTTATCAAAAACATATATGTGATCTTGTCTGGAAACTGATGAACTTATGTTTCCCACGTGGCACTGTTCCCGGTCGAAAGTTTGAAACTTAAAAACTTGCAGACCTAGATGTCATAATCATCATCATCATGATCATCGCCGTCGTCGTCGTACTCTACGTACACTAGCAGACGAAGGTCTATCCCAAAAATATCGAATGTGATCGGCCTTGTACCAGTCGGTTGCCTTTTAATTATGAAAACTTCTTTCATCAACTCATCCAGCACTCCACATCTTGTGACTTACGGTTCCAATCCCTCGATATCTATTCTGTCACTCTAGCTGACGATCACTTATCCGTAGGGCTTTATGTCTTTCTAAAAAGAGACTTTGCATCCTGAGGCTGTTGTGGTTACGGCTGGTGGGCTGTAATCACGTATAGCGTGACTCCATCTGCTCCTCTATCAAGCGCATTTTCACTTCCACCGCATAAGCGATAAGATAATGATTCGGGTGAGTCAGACGACTTGCTTTTGTACCGCAGCCAATCGCGTCAAAGGAAAATTTTCTACTGTAGACAAGATGGATGACATGTAGTCGAGTCATAATTTCGTTGCTTGCGTGTTATCCTGCAGTTTGCTATCACTAATTGTTTTTCCAGTGGTTATCGTACCTCAGCTTCGTGTCAACACTTTGTGTAAACCGAGTCAGCCCGGCCGCCAAGTAGCTGAGTTGGGTACGCACTCTTATCAATGCTGCGCTCGGCTGTTGACCCGAAAGTCTCAGCTTTGATCGCAGCAGCGGTGGTCGAGTTTCGACGGAGGCAAATGATACGGGCTCGCGTACTTAGTATCTGAGGTATAGCGAATTCAGGACGGGACAGAGAAGACGACATATAACACAAAACACAGCGCTAACTTTCAGCAATGCAACCTTAGTTGCATGGAGGAAGGAAAAATTTAAGAGGGAGCGTTGCGCAACGCGACTGAAGCCCACCAAGTCGGCCCAACACGTGACCAAAACGTCAGCGCGCGTGGTGGGTTTTAGTTCTCGCGGTTTCGTTTTGTTTTGAAAAGTGCTTCATTGCTCGTAGCACAGAAGCACTACCGTGAATGCTGTGCTCACGTTTCTGTACTTTGACATGGATTCGCAGTGTTTCCTTGAAGCTAAAAAAATTTTCGGTTTCTTTGATCTTATGTAGACACAAGATTATTGCGAGAAGTTGAAGAGCGAAAGTCTTACTACGTGGCTGTGCCCTGTTGCAGGTGGGGTTGTTCCTTCGGTAACGTTGCGCTGTGGCTCGTGTTTCTGTACGTGGTGTACGTTGCCATTTCAAAAGCTAAACTCTTAACTTGTTAAGCGAGGGTAAACACCGCGGTTTTTAAGCCTCCCTTTAGTAGCGACGAACAGAATCTTGAGTTGGTATGTATTTTTCCCCATCAATCACCGATGCATGTTGCAGGCTTTGCAATGAGGATCGTTTCCTTTCGATGACCTACCGCTTGTTACTGTTGTCAGTGAAACCACTGCTGGGAACAGTGGAGACCAGTACTCACAAGAGATCTGAAGCTAGCGTGCGAAACACCTGGTTTCGCCTGGAAGGCAGTTCGTTGCGGAACGCTACGCCGGTTTTGATTGCCCGTATGTACAAGCAGCGCTAGAGCTAGAGCAAAGAATGGTCATGGTAACTGCCGGCTGCCGGGCGATTATCCACTCCCGGGAAGGATACACAATGATATTATTCATCACAAAAGTGTGAGGAATATATGCGTCCTATGCTCACAATATTCTCGCTAATTCGACTGAAGTGCAAGTCTACCATCGGTTTGGAATCCTGTCACGGCTCGCCCGAATTTCTCGCTTGCACGGAACGAACGAAGCGCAACAATCACTGAGAAAAACGTAACGGCACCACGATCGGAAGTCCACTCCGAGCAGCGTATGGATCTGCTGAGCGTCCGTGAAGCGGCCAAACTTCCACTCTCCCACTAAAAACTACCGAGAACCAAGCAAGAACATCTCGGCAAGTCTCGTTTATTGCGCGATCTCACGGCAAAAGGGCCGACTTTGATGGCTTCAAACCGGGTTGGCTTGCCAAGGCTGGGTGCGTGATGTTGTGCTCCTCCCTATGTTTTTCCTTCATCCATGCTTAGTTGCATACTTAGGTGCACATCAAAGCACCCTGGGTAATTTGAATTTCTAGATCCCTCCTCAGGCGATTTCGTAACGATATTGTTGTGGGCAATATTTCTGTAGGGGTCGTCAGTCAGGATTATTTATTTATTCATACTGTAAGCCTTAACAGGCTCTTGCAGGTGTGGGTCCAAAAGGATACAGAGTGGTAGTATATATGTACACATCTACCAAAAAAACAATAATAATATTAATAACAAAAGGCAGTAAATGTAAAAACAAGAAAAGATAACTATACACAGACTACTAGATGGGTCTGACTACATATTGAAAAAAAACGAAAAAAAAAACACTGCAGAGACTATATGAAAGGGGAAATCACACATTTCACGACTCTGCGAATGAAAACTGCGCATGGCATAGAATCAAAGAAGTACATTCCGCGAACAGTTGCGCCGTTGTATACGACGTCGCTACTTACTGGTCAAAATATATCTCAATATCGGCAGCGAATTAGTGAGCAGATTCTGAGGACACTAAACCACGTGGGAGGTTATTCCATAGTTGAATGATCGATGGAAAGTAGGAATGTAGGACGCTGCATAGAGCCCACAGAATACAAGTCAAGTTCCTTGAATATGTTCCTTGATAATGAAACGCGGTAGTGTTCATGAAAGACTTCTTTAATAAAAGTTAGGATTGGTATATTTACAAGAAAGGAAAAAAACGATGAAACAAGACGAATTTTATAATGGAATAAAAAATAAAATGGAATACAATGAAGTGGCGCATTTGAATTAAAATTGAATTTGGAAAAGCAAAAGATCTAGTGAAAATTGATGTCAAAACTTAAACCTCTCTGAACTTTCGACGAGCTCCTGCAATGCATCAGCTATCTTCCCGTCACTGTGGCCGAGAGACAAATCGCTCTATAAAAAGCACATTTTGCGCATTCAAATCTATTCTAGGGAGGTGGAAAACGGCGCCTGAAGTGTTTTTGCGTAAAGCAGAGTATCTATTACAGTATTTTTCAGTTGAATCATTTACTAAAAAAAACATTTATTAGATAGAAAAAATGAGGGGAGGCTGCCAGACCAGCTCTGTGTAAATATAAATTTAGTGGCAGAGTCTAACAACGCAGTCTGGTAATTGCGACTTCCATTGCTCAAATTTGACATACTTTGCTATTCTAGTGATAGATGAAGTGTTTGAATTCCGATGTGACCATTAGGGAAGGTTTCGAAAGTTCATACAACAGCAGTTTCCTACAAGGCAACAAGGGCGACCCAGACTCATCCCCACAACAGCAACGTTGTTGTGTTCGCCCAGTCGGAGTCATTTGAGCGGCTCTGTCGGAGTGCTATTTCTGTACGCATGACCATTTCTTGGTTTTGGCACGTAAAACTTCGGGAAGTTTTACTGCATTTTCACTGACCCCTTCGAAGCGATGTAGTTTTTAACGCATGTAGCATTTATTTACCTACCCTTCAGCAATTTTTAGCAGTCAACAGGCTGCCTAGCCCCGAGTAGGGACCCGAAGTACGCGAGCACACCCAAAAAAAAGGGGGGGGGGGGACACCAGCGCAGAGCTGACAACGGTCAAATATAAACGGTTTGACAACGGTCAAATATAAACGAAACTGTTGAAAAAAAAAAACTTCTTTGAACGCCGGGCCTTCATTACGGAAGCCTAACACTCGCACCACTCTGCCAAAAACTCGCACTTCATGAGGCGAAATTGAACAATCTGTAGAACTTCCATCGTGAAATCGTGGCTTCTTCGTTTACCTCCGACAGGGCGCTTTGGCGGAGGTCACGGTGCAAGAAGGTGCGTCGGTACAGGCTTTAACAACACTGACCGAAGGTCGACTCGAATAATAATAAGGGCGCAAACCTTGAAATACATTTAATTGACTCCGTCTGACCTGACCATCGCTGTTAGCTTGTTTCTGTTGTACTTCCTTAAATGCGAAGCTCTATATGTGTTGGACATGGCCGTGGTTAAATTATACGAGTCGCGAAACTTGGAACGAAAGGTGTCGAAAACCTATTGTCACATGCATCGACGCTGGCCGACAATTGAAGCGCAACTATAAGGGAGAAGGGGTAAATAACTAAATATTCTTTTTTCAGATAGTCGTAATTTTCAATATGTGAAAGTTAACTATAACTTTATCTTTTATTTATCTGACTCTTGGCTGAATGGTTGATAGCCACATTTGTTGGTTGCTTGCCATAAAGGGGGGGGGGGGGGGGAATATCCATGAAATCTGCAATCAGAGCTTGTGTTCAGTTGGACGCGTAGTGAGTCAACGAGGCATGAGTCACTTATGCGTGGTATAGTTTCTTGCGTACCTTCCCCAGTTTATTTCCTTATGTGCTGTTCACTAGCGTAACATTTCAGCGCTGAACTAGCTCGCAGAATGTATGCCCCATCGCAGTGGTCTAGTGGCTAAGGTACTCGGCTGCTGTCCCGCAGGCTGAGGCGGCTGCATTTTCAACGGAGGAAAAAATGTTGTAGGCCCGTGTGCTCAGATTTGGGTGCACGTTAAAGAATCCCAGGTGGTTGAAATTTCCGGAGCCCTCTACTATGGTGTCTTTCAAAATCATGTGGTGTGGTGATTTTGGGACGTTAAACCTCACATCATCATATCATCACCACGGAATGTTAGATGCCACTCATTCGACTTCCGACTGCCTTCGCTGGCGCACGGCCGGCATGCCCTCGCCTATTGGCGACGGTCGCAACGAAATGTACTCTACCGTTACAAAGCACGGCCCCCTCCCCCCCCAAAA